ATACATTGTGATATAGCCTGGTTCGTTGGTCCGTTGGATCGGATCACTACAACCGAACCACTCCAGAGTTCGTTTACAATCGAGCCGAGACCCCCTCGTTCAGGCGATCTCGGACCGATTGTTTTGGCACGGATCAGAGCGCGATTGCCATGTTCACATATGCCCAAACGAACTGGGCTAAGGGGGCAAACGCGCCAAGTTCCGAAACAACAGGCCAGGTGTGAAAGCACCCCAAGTCATTATAATCAGTAATTATGTCCCCACTGGATGCAACAAATGCCTCATTTGTAATGGGTTTTAATGTTTTTGTCTCGTCGCTCCGGCCGGACAGGGCATCACAGTATGGTAGGGGCATAACATTTCCGTCACACTCTTGAGGCATTCGGCCAATCACAACGCACTGGATAGCTGGCCAATCAGAGCACACCTTGTTTTTCAGACCGATGAGCTTTGTAAAAATCGACGCGTTTCAGAAAGGCGGGGCATAGATGAGAAACAATAATGTACAGTGTGTGGAAAATAATGTGTTTTTTGAACCTTAAACCACATAAACACATTTCATTACACCAAATACACAAAATAATGTACTTTTTTAGCAATGTCATATGACCCCTTTTAAAATATCCGCTCCTCGCTCCATTCAAAATGGAGCGCTCCACTCACATACTCTGAAGCACTCCCTTACATAGCTGAGTTTTGCGGAGGAACTTACTACAAGAATCTATTATGAATAAGTATCCTTCAAATGAACTCTCGTAATGGATTAGTGATTCATATGTTGTGCCTAGACAGACAGTCGGTTTGACATTGTACGTTGAACTTGATCGACCTTTCTCCGTTTACACCATCTGCGCTGTGATTGACTGGATTAATTCCACCTTGTCACTGCGTCGCTCACACTATGAGATCATGTGGCAATAATATCAAACTTGTGTGAAAATATTGTAGCGTCTTTGACTGCTCGAGACAGGTTCAGATCATGATGCTGACTTGCACATACTTAACATGTTGCACATACTTAACAAGCTTTAGTGACCTCAACAAGCAGCGATTTGGCCCCAATCCAGAGGTTTTGTTGCAGACCTTGGAAATATATCTGTGGCGGCATTAAAGCCCAAAGCCCTGTAGTGTGAGTTTGCCATAAGGAGTTCTGCCCTTGATCAAGACACTGGTCACTCCAGGATAAAGGCTTTGGATAAAAGTGACTTGTTAAATGACAATATACAATCTGTAACATACTGAACAATCAAGAATATGTTATTGTATCAGATCAGATAGTGTGCAACTTATTAGAGAAAGAAAGAGACAGGGAGAGATGTATTAGTAGGTGTTTTGTTTATTCATGTTCACAGTACATATACATCTTTAAAGATTTGATGCATCTTTGTTAATATTTTAGCAATTATAATATTTCTGTGTTAGCACGAGTTTTGTTTGTAGAGGACATCATCAATGGAGCTTATAGTTCATTGTTACGTTGTCCAATTTGCGCTATTAACAACCCATTAACTTAATAAATTCCTTATTTGCAGCTTATTAATAGTAAGGTAGTTGTGATAGGTATTGGGTATGATTAGGGATGTAGAATATGGTCATGCAGAATATGTGCTTTATAAGTACTAATAAAGAGCCAATATGTTAATAATAGACATGCAAATCAGCAAGTAGTTAATAGTGAGAATTGGTCCCTATACTAAAGTGTTTCCTAACCCAGTCATTTTGTTCTGTTTCCAGTTCTGAGTTTGTGTAAATAAAAATATACTGCCACATTTAGATCCAATCTCTCATCTTAAGTGCAACAAGGCTGTGACAACATGACATAAAAAGCCGCAGCATAAATGGCTGTCCACTGCTCCGGGTGTGTGTTCACGGTTTGTGTGTGTTCACTGCTGTGTGAGTGCACTTTGGATGGGTAAATGCAGAGCACTAATTCTGAGTATGGGGCACCATACCTGGCCACATGTCACATGTCACGTCACTTAAACATGCAGATATTTGTATAAATAATATTAAGTACAGAACTTAAATGATAAATAAATATTGTGCAATAATTATTACAACAACAAAAAATGAGCTTAGCATTGTGCTAAATTAAAAGGAAGCATTATTTAATAAGGCCTGTAAACCCCGCAGCTCGTGAAGTGCACAGTATGAATGTTTGCTGCACTCACCTGTACAGAAGCGCGTGCTGTCGAGCAGGTAGATGAAGAGTTCGAGCTCGTGCTGCGGCTTTATTTACTCTGAAGAGCAGCGCAGCCGCAGATCTGCCCGCCGCCCATAGCAACCGCGCCATGAGCGCACAGCGCGCTGACCAATCACAGCCCAGCACTCTACAGACACGCCATCACGCCACACAACACTGTACTTCTGCTCTACGAGCCAGCGATACAGCAGCGCTTCACACACTCACACCGCCGGAGCGCTGATGCTCGAGCTGTCTTTATAACGCACTGAACACCGCTTAATCTGACGAGCACACCGACTCCCCGCCCACACGTGACATTCATGCCAAAGGTTTTGATTGGCTGTTGGGAATGAAGCCGTCCTCGGATTGGTGAATATTCATCTAGGCTGTCTTCCGGGTGTGGTTGACAGGAAAAGCCGAGGGAAATCAAGCAAGCAAGACGTTAAAAGTTATACTGTTAATAGTTAATAACAATTCGTATTTATATTAATATTATTAGTTAATATTAATTTAATCATTATGATTAAATTATTATACTGGAAATATCAACACATTTTAGGACAATTTAAAAATATATATAAATAAATAAAATAACAATTATTATTATTATTACTAAAACAAACAACAACAACAATAATAATAATTTTGAAAAGATATTTAAAAAATACAGTCGTAATCAGTAATGTAATTGATGTCAACATTATTTAAATGAATAAACAATAGTTCACATGAAATTATATTTCTATCTGACATCTCATGTAATCGATTTGTTTTCGCATTTAGTTGACTATCTAATATTATAAATAATTTGTATTAATATACATAGCTTCCATATGTGACCCAAAATATTTTTTTTCACATAGTTGTCTCATCTTTCGTCTTTTAAAAAAAATCTCCGTCTGTTATAAAGGCAATGTAACATTTCTCTGTAATCTGAATTATTAATAATTGAATGATTATAATTTGTTTACAAATATAGTTGCATATGCGTTTTTGTGGAGAGATTTACCTAGACGTTTTAGTATTAGTACATACAGGAGAAAAAAAGTATTATGAACATCATATCTATGTGAATACCGTTGAGACTTTTATTTTGAAGTGTCACATCCGGCCGGAGGCCGTCACATTCGCTGTCATTTCCTCTTGCTTCACACTCTGCTGACAGTGTCGGGTTTGATAAAAAAACACAACATCAAAGTGTGAAAATCCCGGTGAATTAGTTGAGCGGATCAGCAGTGTGTGTGTGTGTGTGTGTGTGTGGGTCATGCTGGAGGACTCCGACACACAGCACCCCACCATCAGCGACTGACAGACGCGCTCGCAATAACTGTGAGTATGACTGAAAGCGGAGGCGCTGCTGTTTGTCGTGATGGAGGATTAGCTGATGATCAGGCGAGTTAGACTTTCTCATCACAGCTGCTGTCAGACACACCTGACACACGGGGCCCGCGTGTTTTACTGGGTTAGTGCTGCTTTAACCGAGCAGGCCAGCTGACCTTGCCTCAAACTGTGTGTGTGTGTGTGTGTGTGTGTGTGTGTGTGTGTGTGTGTGTGTGTGTGTGTGTGTGTGTGTGTCTCTCTCTCTCTCT